GATGTACAAATGCGCTTTACACAATTGATGTGTGTATGGATTGGGATAACAGTTGTATGAGCCCCTAATGAAATGTTAAAAAAAAAACAAAAACATACAAAACAAAACAAAAAAAAAAGATAATGAAAAGCCAATAAAGGGTAATGATTGTAGAACTTTTATTTTCTATTTGGTTGTTTCTGTTTTTCTGTCAGCACTATTTTAGGGAGAATGCTGGGTTACAAAGGACCCCCATTGTAACCAAAAAGTGTTGAGCTATGGTTTAACCTTTTATATGCAGCTGAGAATGAAAAGGGCCATATTTACTGCAAAGTAAAGAAGCTTTCAGTATGGATGCAATTCCAAGTAAAGAAAATTTAAATCCTTACAACTGGAACAATAGACTTTATGATAAATGACATAAAGACTGAAGTTGCCAAGGATCATTTTGCTTGGATCCACAATCAACACTCATGGAAGTCAAACCTACTGCTGTACAACAGTCAAGAAATCAAATGAATGATGATGGCAACCCATGTACAAATAGGCTTGATACAATTGATGTCTGGAATGTATAAGAATTGTAAGAGTCCACAATAAAATGATTTTTTTTTAAAAAAGCAAACAAACAAATGATGTACTGCATTGGCAGATCTGTTGCACCACACCTCTTTAAAACACTGAAAAGTAAGACTACCACTTTGAGGACTAGCGTGTCTCTGACCCATGCCATGGTATTTTCAATTGCTTCGTAAGCATATGAAAGTAAGACAATGATTCAGGAAAGCCACACAAGAATTGATGCATTTGAATTAGTCCACGTGAAGAATATTGTTAAGTACCATGAACTGCCAGAAGAAAAAACCTGTCTTGGAAGAAGTATTGCCAGATGGCTACTTATAAACAAAGTACCGTGTACATTGGACATGTTTTCAGGAGAGAAAACACCTTGCTTGGTAGAGGGTCAGAAATAAAGAGCGAGATCCTCAATGAGATAGACTAACACACTGGCTGTAACAATGAACTCAAATATTACAGCTGGACCAGGCAGTGGTTTTTGTTCTACGCTACACAGGGTTGCTTTGAGTCAGAACCTACTCAATAGCACCTAACAATGATACAGCTAAGAGTGTGCTGTAGCTTTGTGTTTTCAAATATCCTTTTCATAATCATCAACATTCCCTAATCCTCTGAAGCAGAATAGGAGGGGAGCAATAAGCAATGAAGAGGTAGTGAGTCTTGTGTTGGGGTGCTAACTGCAAGGTCAGCAAGTGAAATCTACCAACACTCAGGAGCATGGTTAGACTTTCTGTTCCTATAAAGGTTTACAGCCTTGGAAACTCAAAGGGGCAGTTCTACCATGCCCGGCGGGATCCATATGAGTGAGTCAAAATGGCAGTTACGTTTGAAGTCCCCCCCATCCCACCTCCACCAACAGTGTCCAAGTTACAAAGACTCTAACAACTTCACCAACCAAGAGAACAACTTCTTGCTGGCTGTTCATTTATCTTGAGAGCAGAAGATGATTGGTCAGCAAACAACAATCGAAATATATTTCCTCAACACAGGAAAATACATATATAATTGCCCCCCAAAATAGTTCTAGTGTCTGACTTCAATGGATTTGCAAAACAACAGATGCCCACTCCTGATCGAAGATCCCCCCAGGTCAGTCAGTAATCACAAGTCCTCACCATCGAAACAGACAGCTGCATCAAAGCTCCTTCAACCCAGACTTCTACTACACCAGGCCCAGACCACCAAGTCTGTAGGGAGAACCTGATCCAGGGGGGATTCAGCTAAGGACACAGCTTCCTGTTCTGAAGAAGTTGGTACTCTCGGTCACATGTGGAGTTGGTTCTGACCCATAGTCACACTGTGTACAAGAGAACAATATAAGTTTCAGGAGTGGTACAGATCCTAAAACAGAAAGTCACTTTCACAACAATTTTCCCAACAGATGTCCTGCTCACGCAAACACCAGGTTTCTCCCCGGAGCCTGCAATTGAGTCCTGCACTGATCCCACACGTGAAAGTGCTTCAGCACCTTGTTCCTTCAGGCTTTCTAGAAAAAGGCTAGTTTTAGACTACATGAAAGAGGCACAAAGCAAAAGCATATGCTGCTTCGAACTGGAGTCTGATAAGTCACTATGTGGTATAGGCAAAGAGAATACCGACCCCAAACTGTCAAAATAGTCACTAAGGAAACAGAGATCTCATGTGAATGGAAAAGTGGATTGGAACAATACACACATAAAAAACAATAATAAATGTAACTAATCCAAAGTTATTCCTGTATAATTTATCTCCTTATCACAACCCCAAATTAACTTCTTAAAAGTTAGATTATAGTTCAGCAGTATTTTCTGTGAACAGAATCCACCAAGGTTATCCTTTCTAAGGACAGGAAGGATAACTTTAGTGGATTCTGTTCACAGAAAATAGGGCTCAAGTAACCCTGGTGGCGTACTGGGTTATGTGTTGAGCTGTTTAATGGCAAGGTAAGCAGTTCAAAACCACTAGCTGCTCCATGGAAGATGAAGCTTTCCGGGAAAGATTTACAGTCTCAGAAACCCAGAGGGGCAGTTCCACCCTGTCCTATGTAGTGCTATGAGTCAGAGAACTGACTCAATGGCAGTGGGTTTGGTTTGGGTTTTAGATCCTTTCTAAAAGCTTTCCACAAAACCAGGGGCCTCCTCTGACAAATGATGGCAATGAGCAGCTTTATACAGCTAGACGCTTATATGAGCCATTCTTCTTATATCATCAACACAGTACGTTGCTTCCTTTTCTTATGAGGTTTTTTCCAGTTGCATATTTGTCTAAATATGCTTTCACTATCCCAAAGGCACAAAACTTGATGGCCACTTCAAAAACTTTATAACTTTTGTCAAAGAAAAGTGGGGACAGAAAATAAAGAGTAACTAATATCGTTCAAAAAATTTCCCTTAATATCTATTTAGGTAAGAATTCTACTTGTCCTGAATCTGCTTGTTCCATCTCTTGAAGTTAGCTATAGCCATAGTTTAAGCCTCTCTATAAACATGACTCACAAAATGTCAACTTCCAGTCAATTCCCCTTCTTCAACAAGACCAGTGCCAGGCCCATCAAATAGAGCTCAGGCACCAGACTTGACCCTGGCAAGGAAGACTCTGCCTTCCCAGACATCAACTACTCATTCATCCTTCTCCTTCAGAATTCACAACAAATGTGTTCTGTTCAACCAACAACAAAAACAAATAAATGACTCCCCCCAACCTGGAACCTCAACTTTAAAAACAGAAAAGTCAGTGCATAATAACAAACATTTTTGATTGTTTGGAAATTTTACAGTAAACCCCCGAAAGAAGAAGGGATATCTTCCTTCTGAAGCAGTAGACAGGGCGAACTGACGGGACACATCTTTTACTTTTTTATAAGTCCATTTTAAGGTGATATTGTTCTAACTATAATCTATATCAGTTCTCTGCATATGTCAAAACATGCACACTATTTCCTCTTCAGACTTCAGGAAAAGATCACAAGAATTATAATTTGCTCTAGCAAACAGGCTCTCAATCACAACAAGTTCCACCCACCTTCAAAGCAACCAATAGCTGCCCACCTACCACCCTTCCTAAACATCCAAACAGAGCTCCTCACAGGCCTAAGCAGTCCCTGTCTGCCGCACAGGCGATGGACAACCTGCAGGTTTCCCTGCAAGCTCGGCAGTATGCCCCAGCACACCTCAGGTTAAACCACCACCAGGAAAGGACGAGGTGGGGGAAGAGCAAAGCTTTGCAGTCTATGTTTGGTTTCATGCGTCTCTTAGGTCCCCCTTTTTTTGGCTCTGCTTTCATGCTTCCCAACATCACCTATACCGCCAGCCAGGGATGAATGAAAGGTTCTTAGGAACATGCACGATGAATGATGAAACGATCTATAAACATTTTCAGAAGTGAGAAAGAGCAGCAAGAACGTCACCAAGTCACTGTTTCAGATCGGCTGGAGGAAGAGCGCCTACCTGCAGGGGCTGAATGGATCATCCATGACTAGCAGAGGCTCTTGTGAGTCTAGATGTATTGCTGTACCTCTACTTACTGCTACAACTCTGCCCTTTTCCACTCTAACACCTCAAAATGGAGGCACATGCAGTCTGAGAGACCTCATAGAGCTTGCACTGAGCTTGTGCTATGACCTAAGCCTTCACGCAGAACGCAGAAACTTCCCCCTCACACTGACAGGACTGAGCATGTGCTGTGACCCTCCCTCATCCATACACTGTCTCACAACGCAATCAATCTCAACCCTGCTGTTTCCGTAAATAAAGCCCAGCCAACAGACTCTGCAGCTTCTCCCTGCATACCAAGCTAGTGTGCAGGGAAGTGGGGCCTTCACAAGGGGATCCCAGACGGCCAACACGGGCAACTCTGCAGGCCAGCCCACAGCTACATGCCCTGCTCTGTTAAGACCACAGCAAGTTTCCTTCTTTTGTTCCAAATAAATGGTGATTTTAAATGGCAAGCTCTCCCAGAAAGAATTTAATCAAAAGACAGTGATAGGAATGACCACAATGCAATGAACAGAAATACAACAAGACATTTAAACACTAATTAAAAGGAACTTAATTAGGGGTAACTGTCAAATTGTTCCTGAAAACTTTTAAAAGATCACACAAACCATCCTGGCAAAGCTCTGGAGTGCTCTGTATTTCCACACAGGACAAAGTTAGCATAGATGGTAAGGTGTGCAGGGTACCCGAAGAAAGAACACTGTGTTTTAGACAAAAAGCTGAGTGAAAAAAAAGTTCTAATGTCTCCCAAATAATAAACACACATTTCTTAAAGTAACAGTAGCCCCAAGAGGAATGTCTAATGTGAAGAATATACTTCTAATAATATGTAAGAAGAGCAGGGAGGTTCCAATCAATAGTTCAAAGTTCAACTTGACCCACTGCAATCCAGTTGAATCCAAATCATAGGACATAGGATTGTCCTGTGGGGTTTCTAAAGTTGTAAATCTTTACAGAAACACACTGCCACATTTTTCTCCTGAAATGTGACTGGTGGGTTCAAACTGACCTTTTGGTCAGCAGCCAAGCACTTAAGCACCAGTCTGATCCTTGGGTTTACTCTGAACACTAAACACACCTAAAGTATACTCTGAAAAGATTTCTAAGGCCAGGTATATAATTACACGCCATCACAGCCATACTCAGCACTAGTAAATATTTATATTGTCCATAGAGTATCAAACACGACATTTTCCACTAATATCCTTAAAAACACGTTCTATACCTTCTCACAACTTCCACCTAACCAACAAAAGGCAAACTGACTTGACTGTCAGATATCTAAGAAACCCTAGTTTGGGATCTGTACACAGAGTTTCTATTTGCAAGTTTCTACAGGCAATGTTCTATATTATTACTTAGCTATAATTTAAAAGGAAGAGGAAGAATTATGAGCCTCTGAGAACTAGAAAAACTAACATAAAATAAGAAAGAGCAGTGTCAAATCTTTGTCCCAGAAATGTAATGGTGTGCAAAAAATTTAAAACCTGTTTAAAAGAACACTCAAGTACCCTAAAAAATCCTAGCTAACTCCAGAGGCCATCCATTTCCTTCATACACTTGTCTATGTTATCAAATGAGCTAAATGTTGAGATTAAAAATAAAATAGCTCTTATATTATTGAAAACATAATTTACAAAACACATAAAATGTCAAATACACTCTAAAGAGCTTTACATTTGACCCAACACAAAAAAATGTTGTCCCTTATTGGCATGTAAGATGATATGTTTCCCAGAACTGTTATACCTAGAAAACAATTCAGAGGCAAATACTTCGTTAAAAAAAAAAAGAGCAACTGAATTTTAGAACATAGCCAAATAAAATTATTTTACTAAGTTGTTTTTTTCAGAGTATTTCCTTTTTTTCTTTTGCATAGAGATAGTTCATTTGAAAAAAAATCTATATAAAATAATAATTTTAGTGAATTTATCAGTGTTCTGTAAACCATGGGAACATGAACACAGAATTCAAATGGTCATTATACTAGCAATAGCAAGTAAGAAAAACACAACTGTCATTTTGGTCCTACTAGCCATCTCAATAGTGCCAGATGAACCCCTCAGGTCAGAAGGCACTCAAAAAATGACTGAAGTGCAGCCTTCTCAAAGTAGAGTCAACCATAATGGCGTGACTCAAGTAAAGCCTGTCAGGGTAAAAGCTTCAGGACCTTCATTTGCTAGTGGGGTACGACACAAGATGAGAAGAAACAACTGCAAAAATCTGCTAGTAATCGGAAATCGCCAAAAATGAAATGAAATGTATAAAGATTGATATCCTAGGCTTTAGTGAGCTGGAAAGGACTGTTATTGGTCATTTTCAGTCGGGAAACCATATGGTTTACTATATGGGGAATAGCACAATCAAGAGGAATGGCATTTCATTCATTATAAAAAAAATACAAACCATTTTAAGATCTGTCTTGAAATACAATGCTATTTGTGATAGGATAATGTTTACCTGCATTTCAGGATAGCCAATCAATACAATTATTATTCAAATTTATGCACCAACCACAAAAGCTATTGAAGGAAAATTTGAAGACTCCTACCAACGTCTTCTGTTGAAAACTGATCTAACATGCAATCAAGATGCATTGGTAATTACTGGTGATTGGAATTTAAAGGTGGAAACAAAAAGGAAGAAGAGGTAGTTAGAAAAATATGATCTTGTTAACAGAAAGAAAGCTGAGTACAGCATGATAGAAATCTTCAGATCAACAACAAAAGATATCATAGATATCTTTTTCAACGACACAAATGGCAACTGCACACGCATGAACTTCTCCAGATGGAACAAATAAAAGTCAAATTGATTCGATATCATTCGCTAAAACAAAGCTGGAGCTAACTGGAACAGACCACCAATTGCTCAGATGTAAGTTCAGGTTAAAGCTGAAGAAAATTAAAACAAGTCCACCAGAACCAAAATACATCTTTAAATAAATCCCTCCTGAATTTCGACCACCCTTTACAGAGGCAGCATATGAGCAAGAATCAATGGTACTAAAGGAAGAAGTTCAAACTGCTCTGAAAGCATTAGCCAAAAGCAAGGCTCCAGGAACTGATGGAATACCATTTGCAATGTTGCAACAAGCGGAAGAAGCACTGGCATTAAATATGGAAGACAGCTACTTGACCAGCGGACTGGAAGAGATCCATATTTGCACCCATTCCAAAGAAGTGACCCAAGAGAATGCATAAATTATAAAACAGTATCATTAATATCACATGCAAATGAAACTTTGCTGAAGATCATCTAACAACAGCTGTTAACAGTACAGTGAACCCTTGTTTATCGCAGTTAATCTGTTCTAGACCCTACCGTGATAAATGAAATTCCGCGAAGTAGGATTCCTTATTTGTAAATCAAATATTTTCGTAGTTAGAGCATAGAGGACATGAAAAAACTCCCTTTAGTCACCATTACACTCGTATTACCCAATTTATTAAATGAAAAAGGGAAAATACAGTAAAACATTTTGGACGTTACAATTATCATTTATTATTTATTATATTATTTATGGCATCTAGTTTACAGTATTACATATTTCACATACAGTATTATTATACATAGTTCTTACAAATACTGTAATCAATAGCCTATGAAATGACTTAAGGGATGTACTCTACAGGTGGGTCGCCGTCTTTTTCCTCTGAAGGAGCGGGTGTAGGCAGTGGGTGCTGTTACGCAAAAACCGCGATAGAGTGAAGCCCCGGAAGTCGAAGCGCAAAGTGGCGAGGGTTCACTGTATACTGACAAGGAGCTGCCAGCGGTTCAGGTGGAATTCAGAAGAGGACATAGCACAAAATATCACTGATGGTGTCAGATGGATCTTGACCGAAAGCAGAGAATACCAGAAAAATGGTTATTTGTGTTTCATTAGCTAGGTAACGGCATTCAACTATGTGGATCATAACAAACAAGGGTTAATCTTGAGAGGAATGGGAATTCCAGAACATGCCACTGTGCTCATGTGGAAACTGTACTCGGATCAGAAGCAATTGAGCAAACAGAACAAGGGAACACTTCATGATTTTAAAATCAGAAAAAGTGTGTATCATCTCACCATACTCATTCTATCTGTAACTTGAGAAAATAATCAGAGAAGATGGAATGGGAATTCCAAAATACTTCGTTTTGTTTATGCGGAACTTTTAACTTGGACCAAGAAGTAGTTGTGCCAATTGAATAAGGGAATACAGCATCGTTTAAAATCAGGAAAAATGTGTCAGGATTGTTTCTTCTCATCATACCTATTCAGTCTGTATCTTGAGCAAATAATTAGAGAAGCTGGATTATATGAAGAATGCAGCATCAGGATAAGAGGAACGTTTATTAGCAACCTATGATAAGCAGTGACATGTTTTCTTGCTGAAAGTGAAGAGGACTTGAAGCACTTGCTGATCAAGATCAAGGATTACAGCCTTCACTCAGGATTATAACTCACTGTAAAGAAGATCAAAATCCTCACACATGGACCAACTGGTAATATAATAAATGGAGAGAGAACTGAAGTTGTCGAGGATTTATGTACTCTAGCTTGGACCCACAATCAATACTCAAGGAAGCAGCAGTCACAAGACCAAACAATGCATTCATTGCCTTGGGTAAATGTGCCGCACACGATCTCTTTAGCATGTTGAAAAAGCAAGGAGGTTACTTTGAGAACTAAGATGCAAATAGCAAGCCATGGTATTTTCAGTTGCCTCATGTGCATGTGAAAGTTGGACACAGAATAAGGAAGACTGAAGAAGAACCAATGCGTTTGAATTATGGTGTTAGTAAAGAATATTGAAAGTATCATGGAGTACCAAAAGAACAAACAAATTTGTCTTGGAAGAAATACAGCTGGAATGTTTCTTAGAGAGGTTCTCAACCTGTGGGTTGCGACCCCTTTGGGGGTCAAACGACCCTTTCACAGGGGTGGCCCAATTCATAACAGTAGCAAAATTACAGCGATGAAGTAGCAAGGAAAATAATTTTATGGTTGGGGGGAGGGGGCGCAGTCACCACCACATGAGGAACTGTATTAAAGGGTCACGGCATTAGGAAGGTTGAGAACCACTGCCTTAGAGGCATGGATGGGTCAGATTTCATATCACATGCTTTGG